CCCCTGGGATGGCAGTGAAGGGTCTCTCAAGGCAGGAAGGTGGGGGAGGGGCAGGCTTGGCTTTGAGGGGGCCACACAGACAGCTTTTCAGAACAACAGGAAAGAGAGGCAAAGGGTGGGGAACAAAAACCCAGAACGCGGGTGGTGCTTGCTGGGGTGGGACCTCCACCTGCAACCTTCACCTGCAAGATGGGTGACCTTTGACATTGCTCTTCACCTTTCACGCTCCCTGGAAAGCAGCAGTAAGGACAAATGACAAGAAAGTCTCTTGGCAGTGGAGGGAGGTGTCCTCAGAGTCCCTCTCAGAGATCCTACGAGAAAAATCTCTAGATACGCACCCCACACTGCACAGGATCCTCAGCTCCCTGTCTCTCAGCCGGGCCTGGCTACCCTGGTCCCCGGGAGGGCTGAATGCTGTAAGGGATCTCACCAGCCACCTTGGGAGAAGGGAAGGATCTACCCCGATACTGGACGCTTCTCATCTCCCTGCAGGCCTCCTGGAGCAGAGCCCCGTGGCCAGCTTGCTATGAAACATCACTCAGCCCCTTCTTCCCCTGCACATGGCTTTCCGTGGCAAAAGAATCTGAACTCAAGTTCAAGGCTCAGCCCAAATCCGTGGCTGTCTGGCTCCAGCTGCTGTGCAAAGGACAGGAGGCTGAGACATGGCTTTGGTTTCTGATTCCTCTTTCTCGGCCTGAAAGTGAGGCCAGATGCTGCGGGCTGGGGGGCGGGGAGCAGCCAAGAGCTCAGGGAGGGGCTGCCTTTGGGAATCGCTGCCAAAGCTCCCGAGTGACAGGATTCCCTAGTCACAGTAGCCCAGGGTCGAGGTCGCGGTCCCAGCTCTGCTCGCGCGTGGCTAAGGACCGATTTCATTTCCAGTCTCAGGTACCCTGCTGCTGGGATGCACTTGTGCTTCCACGCTCACTCCCAGCCATCACCGAGTGTGGGGCGGGTGTATCCGACACCGTGGTGACAGAGCGTCACCGGCTGAGCTGCAGGTCCCACTCCACCTGGTCCTCAGGCCAAGCTTTGTCACAAGAGACATCTCCAGAGTGGCTGAGTCATGCCGTCATGGCTGTCTGTGTGTTCTCCCCGTCATCCCTCCTAGTCAGCCCTGAGTCCGCCAGAGTAGTGCTTCCCAGAGAATGGTCTGTCATTACCGCCTCCCCTGAGTGTCATCCTGACACCCACATTGTCACCTGCCCGGCTCTTCTCCTGTTGATCCAGGGGACGCCCCTCTCCTGCTCCCCCCCACCAGCCTCCTCTTTCCCTGGACAGGACTCTAAGGGGTGCCGTGAGCCCCGGTGGTCTGATGCCTGAGACTGGACTCTGATTTTAGGAAAATCAGGCAGAAACTTTCAAAAGACTAGGTGAAGGCAAGCTGCTAAGAAAAAAAAAAAAAAATGAAGCTTCGCCTGGTGGCATAGGCCTGGAATCCCGGTTATTCAAGAGGCTGAAGCAGGGGAGTTATAAATTGAAGACCAGCCTGAGCAAGTGAGTGAAACTTTTGTCTCAAAAACAAAACTAGACAATACAGATCAAAACAAAAATAAGTAAATAACCCGATGAAATTAAAGGCTTTAAGATACTATTTTATAATTGCTTTTATTTGTAGGTAATGTTTTTATGGTTCTCTTTATTTTTATTATTGAACTCCTCTAGTCTTGTTTAGCACACTGTAAGAGAAGACCAAGCTGTGCCGTACGTGCCCGGAGAATGACCGTCAGAGGTGGCTTAGTCGGTAGCGTTTGCTTGAGGGAACCAGGGCCTGAATTCCATTCCTAGAACCCATGCTAAGAAAATAAAAAGCTGGGCGTAGGGGCACTCGTCTACAGTCCTGGTGCTGGGCAGGCGCAGACAGGAGGTCCCTGGGCCCCACTAGCCAGCCAGTCTAGATTACTTGATGCGCTCCCGGCCCAGAGAAAGAGCACCTGAGGTAACCTCTGTCCTCTGTGTGCCCACGAGTGCACACACACATACACACACAGAGTGCACACAAGCTTATACACAGACCTACATACCTACAAATACACACAATGGAAAAAAGGAAGGGAGGGAGGGAGGGAGGGAGGGAGGGAGGGAGGGAGGGAGGGAAGGAGGGAGGGAGGAAAAGAGGCTAGGAACTCAGCTCCGACAATGAGCCAACTCTATTCCTCGTTATTTTCACACTGACTCCTCTTACGATCTAGGGTAAGTACAGTTGGCCTCGGAGTCCAGGAAAACGGCTCAGGAGAGTGAGGCCGGCACAATCTCACAGCAACTTCGAACCGAAGGCAGGCTTCAGGTACGGCTGGTTCTAGCCTCTGCATCCCCCCACCCCCATGCCCAAGGCAGCCTGCATGTGGAAATTAGAAGTCTCTCAGGCGGAAAGGAGGATGAGGACCCTGCCTGGCATTCCCCGGGTGCTGCTGAGAACACCCGCTCGGTACCAGGCTTAGGATGTGCTCCTGGCCCCTACATAAGCCTCTTGGACTTCCCTCCAGTTCCTGGGCCTAGACTCAGTTTCTAGAAAGGGAGAGCCCCCTGAGGATGAGCAAGTGACAGGAGCTTGGGGGGGGGGGCGCTCGTAGGTGTGGAAAAACCAGCGAGGTGGGGTGAGAAGCTAGAAAGCGGAGGGGGAGGTGTTGCAGGATGGAAAGAGCCTCTGGCTGGGAGCGGAGCAATGGGTCCCACTGACTCACTCAGGGTGCTTGGATGAGTCTGCCTACCTGGGGATGGGGGATGGGACTCAGTTTCCATCTCTAGAAAAAAGCAGTCTTCCCACCGCGTCATTTTCTGCTGTATTTCACATTGCAGCTCCAAACTGCTCCAAAGTCCCCCCGGGGAGGCGCCACCTCCACCACTGACCCCCAGCAGCCCAGGCCAGGCCAGGCAGCTGACACATTCACAGTGCTGGTGGGAGCGAGGGGTTCTCCTTACACAGCTGTGCTAGTCCCCCGTCTGGCTTACTCATAATGGCGCCCTGTTGGGTCATGGAGACTCCACCAAGGAAACCAGTGTGTGCCAGGCCCTCAACCAGCAAGGTCCCTCCAACCAAGGTGTCATCCCCATTTCACAGGAGTGCAAACTGAGGCCCAGGGAAGGGAAGTGGAAGGCACCAGGGTCTAGCCGTTTCAAAGACCCACAAAAGTGTCTCCAGAGCCCTTCAGTCCTCACCACCAGCTGGAACTGAAATTCCCTCCAACCTCGGCAGTCCTGACTCATCTGTGGGGCAGAGGACTGAACCTAAGGATCTGATGGACACGTTTAGGGGCTTCTTCCTGATAGGAAATCCAGTGTAGCTGAGAGGCAAAAAAAAGTCCACAGCCTTAAATAATCCCCTCCTCCCTAATGTTAGACCTGAGTCCAGGCTGGTACTGGGGCCTAGCCCCTGGCCTGGACACTGGTGAGAGCTGGCATGGTGCCCTGTCTGAAGTCTAGAGAGCTTACAGGACAGCTGAGGCTGTTGTGGTGTCACAATTGAGGCCTGGGTAGGAGAGCTGATGGTGGGAGTTCAAATCCCGTTCTAAAAGGCTGAGATCTTCGGCATGTGTGTTCATGGTCCTGGGCCTCTGTGACGTGGCCTGTGAACTGCCAGGGAAAAGCTCTTGAGGCAAACAGGAAAAGCCACGCTTCCCACGCCCCACACCTGACCGAGTTCTCAGAAGATGAGGACAGAGCAGGACATCGTCCCTGCCTTTGGAACCTTTCTGAACCCTGTCACAGGAAAGGTTAAAAAAGGTGGACAGAGGGCCTGTCCGATGCAAAGGCCCTGAGGCAGGAAGCTCAGAGTCTCTCTGGCGGCAACACCTTAAGGGCATCGCAAAGGCCCCGGACCCGTGAGTTCAGGCTGCCGGCTCCAGCAGAGGGCAGGGGCAGTCCCAGCACAGCCATGCCGCAGCTTTCCCAAGCAAGGCCTTTCTTGGTGGGCAGGCCGCAGCTGCCGCCTCATGTGTTTCCCATTTGTACATAAATCCCAACTCCCATAAAACCCCCTGAAGTGCCACCCAGCCGCATATGTGGACGCCTCTGCCTGGCAGTGTGGTGACGGATGGCGGGGTGTCAGCCACAGCCCAGGGCAGTGACAGTAACAGTGAGGGGTCCTCCACCCTCTGGTGGAACCAGGCTTTGGCTCCTGGGGAAGAGCAGCCAGGCCACCACTGCCCTTCATTGGGAAAGGGTCTCCTAGGCCATTGCAAACCACAGCCTGCTGCCTACTCCGTGGCTCCCAGCTCTGTTTCCTGGGTTGTATGATGAGGACAGACCCACAAACAGAAACCCTACCTCTTCTCTCTCTTTTTATTCTTTTCCTTTCAGCCTCCAAAGAAGTGGGGGGGGGGGCAGTAGCCACAAGATCTTCTAAGGGGCTGTGACATCACGGCCCAGGTGACAGTGGCCTAGCCAATGGGCCTAGGCCGTGAGCTGGCTTCTTGCATCCTGTGATGTGAGGTTGGGTTGACACTGGGAAGGCCTGGTCCCCTCAACCACAGAACCACAAGGCCAGGCCCTCGCCGCCTCCAGGGCCCTGCGAGGAGCTGGTTGGCTCCTGGCGTCCCCACCCCCTGGCCGTCCTGGCCCCCACCGCAGCCTGGGCTCCGTGGAGGGTGAGCCTCGTTCATTCATTCATTCATTCCCGCTGCTGAGCCTTGCCTCACTGCTGCAGCCCCGGGCTCCTCCGCCCTGGCTGCCCAGGGCCCCTTCCCACCATTTAATGATACTCTGCACATAGTGCTGTTGAAAATTTGTGGCTAGACATTCCTGTGGGACCGGGAAGCCAAATTCTTGGGTACAAACCGAAACTTTCTTTCCTTGGAGATTTTCTTCTCTCTCGCCCACAGATACTCTCGCGTTCTTTCCTTTTTTTCTTTCTTTCTTTTTTTTCTTCTTTTTCTTTTTCGTAGCAGCAGGGGGAGAAAAAAAAAAAAGAAACCAAACCAAAAAAAAAAAAAAACAAACGAAAAAGCAACACCTCCCCCTTTTATTTTCAAAAGCAGCTTGAAAAAAATATATATAACAAAACAGCAGCCAACCAAGCCGGCCCGGCCCCAGCCCCCCAGGCCGCGTCCTTGCCTCTGCCAGTGTGGGGTATGGCCTCCAACAGCATCTTCGACTCCTTTCCCAACTATACACCGACCTTCATACGAGGTGAGTACCAACGGTGGGACTCTGCTTGGCTCTCCCGGGTGGGGAGCGGTGACGGCCTCAGACCATGACCCTCCGGGCCACGGCTCTAGCCACCCCAGTGGCTGGCTTCTGAGAAGCTGAGTGGGGAGAGGGATTGGTGGCCTCCGTGGTCTCCTGGCATGAGCATCACTGTGTGACTTTGCTTCTCCGCTGGTGGAGTGTGTGATGGGGCAATGGCTCCCTATGAACCTCAAAAGGCTAGAGACCTCAGAGGGTCCTGGGATGGAGAGAACAAGGTGAGGCTGTGGCCCTCGGCTTCCTGCCTCCCCCACAGGGCACCGGGGCCTGTCTGCCCAGATCAGGGCTCAGATGGACTGAGGTCAGATGTGTCCGGGAGGGCCATGGGAGGCAAGCAGGGCCAGGGCTGTGCCTGGATCCACAGGTCTTGAGGACTGTCCTGGGCATTCTCTGTGTACTCTGAACAGTGAGGACAGAGGGAAGAGAGAGGAGCCACAGGCTGCTCTGAGAATCTGTTCAGCACTGGCAGATACTATGGAAGACCCTATCCCTGGAAGGTCTAAAGGCTTGGTCACAAATGAAGGTGTTTGGGGGGTGGCTTCTGTCTCTATTCATGGCCCAGAAGGACCCAGAGTTCTGGGGTGTGTCCCTCAGCAAGGGTAGGGACCAGGGTATCCGATGTGAAACCTCTGACTTAGGCTGAATCCGGGGAAGACAAGCCCTGCCTCTGGCCTTTGAGGTACCCTGGCTTCAGACACCTCGGCCACCTTCCTGCTTCTTTGCAGTACCCCATGGGGCTGTAGCCCCTGAGACCAGGGGACTGCGGTCCCCGAACTTCAGCCCCAGGCTGTACCAACCTTGATGAGTGACCTGATACGGGTCACTTTACCTCTCTGCTCCTGATGGTGTCCCCTCTAGCTGTGGGGTCCTGTTATCTGAGCTGTGCATGGGGCAATACTTCTGGGCTGCTTAAGGGACTAACTTCTCTGCTGAAGAGGGGCAGAATGTTCTAGAATTCTAGGGTTGGGAGACGTTGCCTTTTTTGAGTCGAGGTGGCCAGATGAGACGTAGAGGTCTGCCTGCCCGACTCCGACCAGCTTTGACCACAGCACTGGGTTCCAGAGGGCCTGTACACCTGCGGGTCTGTGTGATAAGAATTTGCCGAAGAGTACGGCGTATCTCTTTCCTGGTGACCTGGGGAGGCCGAGGCAGGTTGTGTGCTCAGATGGTGATTGACCCACGGGAGAAGGGACGCTCCCTCCGAACTGTGGCTGGTGATAAATGGTGGCCCCGGGTGCTGTCCCTTGCAGCCACCACTGTTGTCCTAGGCACCCTTTGTAGTCTTCGGTGTTAATTAAAGGCAGCTACTGGGCGAGAAAATAAGAACTTTATAAAAACCAGTTGCTGGATCTTTGTAATCCGTATTTCTCCCTCCCTGAGCAAGATGGAGAAGTTGAGCTTAAAACAAAGAAACCTTAGAAGACAGGGCTAGCGCCGGCTGCCTTAGATGAACTCCTGACACAAAGCCCTAGATGTGGCTGTTGGAGGCGGGAGGACAGAGAGCGGACTGCAGCAGCTCTGGCCCGACACATGGGGAAAAGAGAGAGGTCACTGGACCCAGCAGCTGGTCCCTGGTCAGCAGGGTGGAAGGTGTCGGGGTCACCGGGCAGCTCGGGACCCCAAGAAGAAGATACCCTGCCCTTGCCTCACCTCTCTCCTTTAAACCTGCCCACTTGGGCTCAGCTCCTTAATTCAGAGCCCTCACAGCTCCAGCCTCAGGGTCCCCTTGTAGCCACACACCATCCTGGCCCCTCAGGAAGCCTGTGACTTCTCAAATTGCACTATTAAAGACATAAAACAAAATCCAAAGGACTTTGGGGGGACCCCAGAGCAAGGGAAACAGTTTCCAAGACATAAAGGCCCTTTTGCGGACTGTGACCTCGGCTCTCTCTGGAGACATTGAGTGATAGCTGCTTTCCGTGTTCGTTCAAACCCAGCGGAACTCTGGGTGACAAGTGCTGACTACAGATTGTGAAGGGTCATCTGCCACCACCTTCTTGAGATCGAAAACAATTTGTGGTTTCCATTGGTGACACCATCATGGTGGAAAAAGATGCTAAATTTTGTTTCAAGGTTGCTAACAGAAAGGAAAATTCATTATTTCCAGCCGGGTTCATGGAGCCCCTGGATTTCTGCTCAGGTCAAGAACCCTAGAGTTGCTGTGTTCTCACACTCTGGCCCTCGGGATCCACCTGTGGGAGTCACAGATGGGAGCCCCATCCTTGTTCTCCCACAGTGTCCACTTCCCTTGCCCTGCCCTCCCCAAATGCTGACCCTCCTCACTGCCTCAGCAAGACCCTCACCACTCTCCTAGAGCCCTGGAAAATGCCGCGTTCCAGATTCCCGTCTCAGATTGTGGAATGGGCGTGCGTTGAGTCTAGGTCTGGAGATTCATGGAAGCTGACTTGGGCGGTGCTGCAGAAGGCCCAGTCCGCTGTCTGCCTCCAATGTCCATGTGCTGTGTGACTCCAAGCAAACCGCTTGACATCTCTGAGTGCCGTTCTTTCATTAGTAAAGGGGACGTGTCCGTTAGCGTTGATAACTCCTCAGGCTGCCTCCAATCCCTGTCTGTCCCTGCCCCAACCCAGGGTGGGTCCTCTGCACTGTCGTGACTCTGTGCCGACTCAGAGTCCCCATGGACCAGAAGAGAACAGCTCCGTCTATGTTTTTACTGGCATCTGTGTTTCCATGCCTTGCCCCTGGGCGTCAGTGCACAACAGACATCTGGGGCCTCTGGAAGCAACAGGGGACAGACTCCCCTGGGCGCCTCCTCGTCAGGGTTTGTGCAGAACCTTCCAGAAGCTGCCCAGCCCACCCTTCACGCTTTCTCAGTCCTGCCCTTGAACCAGGTCCTTCGCTGGGCCCAGTGTATCCCTGGCTTTCCCTGGGAGGAAAGGGGGCAAGGAAAGGACCCCACCCTGCAGCAAAGGCCAAGGAGAGGATGGAGGACCCAAGAGGGCATCTTTAGCTCTGTTGGGGGCTGGCAACATCACCCTAAGTCTACCTGAGGCCCTCCTTGGCACCAAGGAGCCTCTAACCAGCAGGTCTCCCGCCCCTCCGCCACAGCACCCAACATTGCTCCTTCACCAGCAGAGTCTCACTCCCAAAGACAGAGGGGGAGAGGACTTTGTGGGGGGGCATCTGAGGAAGTGGGCTGTGCTACCTGCATGCAGATTTAGGGGTACGATGTACAGCGATAGCTTTGACTTGCTAATTCAGCCATTCCACAAAAGCTTGCCAGGCTCCGGCTCTGGAGGTGAACTCGGATGCATGCCTGTGTGCTGCCTGTTCCTAGATAACACAGGCAAGTCTCTTCACCTCCCTGTGCCTCAACTTCCCCTTCTGTAGCAGCGCCAGTCTCCTGGGGCTAGGGCCACTGCCCTACCCATGTCACAGGCTGGCCCCCTGCTGGGAGCTGCTTCAAGAGGGTAGGGTGAGAGTCTCCATCCTGGGAGCAAAAGCTGGTAGAGAAAGAGATGGGTAACAGCATGGGCATGGATGCGACGGACCTGTGGTTAAGATGGGGAATGTGGGAGTTGACGGTACCAAGTCTTAAAGGGTAAGGAGGTGACCAAGGAGAAGACAACAGCGTGAGATCCGGAGATCTCAAGATGCCAAGGACGGGATTGCAGGAAGATGCCCTGGTGGTCCTGGGGACAGCCATGCACACAGGACCCCCTGCACAGGCCAGGCGTTTGACGTTTAGCCTCTGTTCTCTTAGCTGGGGTCAGCGGGCCGCGCAGACCTCACCTCCCAGACATCTGGGAGAAATGGGAACTGGACTCTCAGGCATGGGGCGTACTTGTTGATGACAGGGGCCTGACAACATGGCTTCGGATTGTCTAGCCTAAATCACCTGATTTGGATGTCACTGGATAGGGAGGAAGGAGAGAAAACGATGTCCTTTCCTAAGCTTCAGGTTGTGGCTAGCAACAGGGAGGCCCCCCAGTCACAGGCTGCCATCGAGGTTGGTCACCCTGAGTAGATGACCCCGTGGCCTCCTCCTCCACTGGCCCTGGCGGGAGATGAGTGACCATCTGTCTTTCCTCGCCCATTATGGCGCCTCGTCTACCAGGGCCCTTTGATGGCGGCTCCTGAGCCGCCCTGCAAACATCATCTCCCCAACCACCCAGTCTGTGTCACCCCACCCCCAGGCTGGAAAGGAGTTCCTAGGAGCCCCCCACTGCCCACAGGGTCTGGGTGGGTGTGAACCGGCCCCACACAGTGGGACTGTGTGTCCAGGCCTCATCCACACCCACGACAGCCAACCGGCGGCCCCTGGTGGCCCTGCAGGTCAGATAGTGGGCCCATTGACGGCAGCGCCTTGAGGTGGCCACATCAAAGCTGAGGCTTGCTTGGTTACCTGAAGGGGAGGGGCCTGAAAACATGACCTTCCAGAAGACTCTGGGAGACCAGAAGAGAGTAATGACTGAAAAGAAAGTCTGGCGTCGGGCAGACCTGGGCTTCTGAGAGGTGGGGAGACAGCCCTGAACTTGGGGTTCGGTATGGCATCCAGAGCACCGTGTCTTAATCCCGTCTCCTAGGGACCTGCCGTGTACAGGCTCTCTTTTTTAACTTTTAAAAAATTTCAAACTTTCCTAAATTAATTCAGTTTTTTAAATCGATGAATGTACATGTTATATGGGGAACATTCTCCTCCTTGGCTCCCTACCCTCTTGTGACTTGTCCCTTCCCCTCCATTTAGTCCTTTGTCCCCGTGACACTGTCACATTTATTTTCTTGTTATATATGCATACAGGATTTTAGGTGTCTGTATGAAATCTAGGACCCACAAGTGGTAGAAAACTTCTTTCTGAAGCTGACTTAATTTGCTCAATGTGATTATCTGTGGCTACTCAATTTTCCTGCACATGACATGACTTCATTATTTATGAATGCAAAAATTCCACCATAGATAGATAGATAGATAGATAGATAGATAG